TAATGAGCTGTCAGCCTCAAGATGAAACCCAATGGAGCAAATGCAATGCCTGGACTCTGCTCAGGGAGGTTCCCAAGCTGAGAATTTGGGAGAGGTGGGTTCAGCTCCTTCCTTTGCCTCTGAGCCCTGCATTATCCCAGAGCAATCCACTCCCAAGGCCCCAGCAGCGCCTGTACCCCAAACCCAAATTCCCGACGAGCTCCTCTCTCAGCCAGGCACCAGAGGAAGCACCGAGTAAGAGTTTCAGAAGTGCTCCACATCCTCCTGCGTTTCCTTTCCAAATCTGCAGCCCTCAATTGCTGCAGGAGGCACAGCTGGCTCAGCTCCGCCGGAAGCACGGCCAGTCAATTTTGGGAACATCTTTGGGAACTCTCACACTTCACAAGTGCTGAGCACAGGGAAATTTTGCCCCTGTGCATTTCCTTCTGCTTCACTGGTGCCTCTCCAGCACGCCTCCCCTTAGGCTGGGGTTGTGTTTGCAATGCCAAGGGCAAGCAAAGGCTCAGAGGGGTAAAAACTGCCCCGTCTCTGGAATGTCCAAGGTTGGACGGGGCTTGGAGCAGCCGTGGGAGGTGTCCCTGCCCATGGCAGGGGGTGGCACTGGGTGACCTGAAAGGCTCCTTCCATCCAAACCTTTTTATGATTCAGTGATTTCTAAAATGTGCCTCCTCCGAGCCCCTTCTGAGCTGTTCCTGCCGTGGCAGAGCTCTGAGGAGCACCACTGTCCCCTTCCCCTTTCCCGACCCTCCCCACGCAAACCAGGGCTTAGGACACCTCCCCGGGGCTGATTCACCCTCACCCAACACAAACTCAGGTTCCAGAGTCACCGAGGGGACAGAACAGTTTGGGGAGCAGCGCTCATCCTCCCGTGTCCCACGGGAAAGGAACCCCGGTGCTTTGGCCCGGCAGGGAGCACAAAGGGTTAATGAGGAGTTCCTGCTCCCACTCTCCTCACCTCCCAGGTGACCTCTTTGCCGTGTCCCACCTGTGGGATCACAGCCTTTGCATTCCTCTGGGGAGCTCCCACCTCAGCATTCCTCCCAAACCCCTCCGGCTGACGAACAAAGGTAACGCAACCACTGCTCTTAAAAGAATTTTAAAAAATGTAGAATTCAGGCAGTCCTGGAGTGATTTCTCCCATGAGGTCCCAAAACCCCCTGAGCTCATGCTGAGCCCCCAGGGCACCCCTTTTAATGCTGAGCTAGAGAGCTGGAACCTCACCCTCAACCCTCTCTGGAGATGGAAACGATTCTGGCTCATCCTCTTCTTCCAGGCAGCACCATGATGTTCAATAAATAAATAATAAAAGCAGCATGTCAACATTTCCCTTTAAATCAGGCTCAGAAGAAGGTCTGCAGCAGCCCCCCAAGCCTGCAAATGTTTAATTCCTTTATCAATGCCCTTCCTCCCCATGGAGAGAGGGGAGGAGCGGAATTCCAGCTGACGGCGGTTGTGTGTGCCTGATCTAAAAGGTGTGAACACGAGCGGCACCCAGCCCTGTGGAAAACGCAGCAGAGCTGTCCCTGTGCCTGAGCAGGTGGCTGTTCATCCACAGGGTACGGCCAGACGTGGGGAGGGAGAGCTGTAAAGAGCGGCCTGGCAGCGCTCAGTTCACACGGAAAAGCTGCTCACCTGTCTGCCCGGTGTTTGTTCTGTCCCTGCCAGCCGGGGAGAGGGGACAGCAATGACCTTCCAGGAGACAGAAACATTTTCCTTCTCCCCACAACACCTTCCCAGCTGTTGTGCGAGTGAGACAGGCGTGAAGTACAGAACGCCGCAGCTGGCTTTGTGAAATCCCTTTTTACAGCCTCCAGATCTCCGGCAAATGCACAAATAAATGGGAAAGTGAGAGGGAGGGAGATGCACAAAGCAAATCCCAGGCTGAGGGAGCAGCACTCTGCTAACTGCATGGCCAGAGCCCAAATCAGGAGCATCCAGTTATTTTAGCAAGCCCTGCCAAGAGACTGAAGAGAGGAGCCCAGGCCAGGTGTCGGTGATTATAATCCCACTGCTGCCAAAGTCACTCCTGCCTGCAGCCAGCCTGCCTTTGGCTCTCTCCCCCAGCACAAGGAACCATTCCTGAGGCAGGGATTGGGAAAAGCAGCCCCACCAAGCACAGCTGCACCTGGCCCAGGGCAGCTGTGGGCCTCTGCTGGGTGCTCCAAACCTCACAGGATTTTAAAACAGCACCATCCCCAGAGCTGCTGGGGAGAAAAGGAGCTCTGGAAATGCCTCAGCACGTTATTCCCAGTTCTGCCATGGAAAATCAGTGGTTTATGGATGAGATGGGCTGGATGCTGCCACACCCCAAATGATCCCTGTGGAGGTGCCAGCCCTGCTCCCCTGACCCAAACCCCAGCCCAGCACCCACAGCAGGGTCTGGGCACACATCCCTTTCCCTTCCCAGTTCAAATGGAACTGATCCATCACCCTTTCCCATTTCTGGACCCTCAGCTGCCCCCAGGCACGAGGGGTGAACACCTGAAAGCAGACAATGCTTTGGAAAATATTGCTAAAAGAGGTAAAAATCAACCAGCTGCTAAAAGAAGTGAAATCAATCAATGAGTCCTGGAGCCTGCCTGCCCTCACACAGGTATCCAGGCACTCCTCTCCCCTCTGAGGCCTTCTATTTTTGGGAGAAACCTAAAGCTGAGCACAAGGAATGAGGCAGGCAGCCCCAGGGGAGGATGGGCCTGAGCTGCATCACACCTGCACAAAATAATAGTTTTCCACAAGTATGGGTAAATTAGGAAATAAAGAGAGGTTCCATTTCCTGGTTTTTTCACCAAACACAAACCCTTTCCACTGCTGAAGACTCTACAAGGGATTTTTTTACCATTTTTAAGTGCTGTACATTGAATATCTCTCCTTTTACAAGTGGAACCTTGTAGCTATGGAGACGCAGAATGTCAAATCCAAGCTGAAGACAGGATTTCAGTGGGGGCTTTGGGTTGCTACATGTGCCTTCAATGATCTGCTTTCCACTTCCTGAAGTCTTTATTATTCTCTATATTTTATTAGTCTCTAACAGTGTGCAAAGAGCCTCTGGATGTTCAACGAGGACACGGACACAGAGCGACCTGTCAGACACAGCCCTGGGGCATCCTGCACAGTCTGATTTACACCCAGGGCACCACAAACCCCCCTCAGTCCTGCAAGGTCGTCATCAGTGTAATTTAATCCGAATGAAACCGTTCTGGTGCTGCCACAGCCCCTGGAAGGCAGGTGAGCTGGGGTCCCCTGGTGTTTGATGCTGTGTGTAACAACCACAGCCACCTGGGGGAATCACACCTGGGAGGGCTCCTGAACCTTGCAATTACCTGCTGTAACCTGAATTATCCAAATTCCAGCCTCCCAAACATCATCCCCGCCTTCTGTGGTCCAAAATGCATTAGGGGTGGAGGTGTCATTACCTGGATCTTCAATTACCACGTGCACATCCATCCGTCTGTTTCCCACCGTGGAGTAAAGGAAACAACACTTTAGCCAAGCTAATGAAACTTCAGTGGTGTTAAACCTGAGCGTGAAGGGGACAGAGCCTTCCAGGCCAGATTAATGCTCTTTGTGACAGCCAGGGGAAATTCAAAATAACTTGAACATCACTCATTTTCCACTTGTGCTGGTAACAGTGAACGAACCAAACCACACACCTTCATTCTGCATTTTGCTGGAGCAGCGACAGGGACGTGGCAAGTGGTTTTCTGTTCTGGAGACAGCACTGCTCCAGAGAAGGCAACCCCAAGTCACTGCATTTCTCTTCCTTCCCCTTAAACTCCACAGTTCAAAACCACCTGGGGACTTCAGGTGGCAAACGTGAAACCTCTCACAGGCGCCCCGTTGTCAGAGGATGAAAACATTGGGCTTTGAGCAATCCAGATCCCAGAAGTGCAGATCCCACTCTGCTCATCTTCACCACACCTGCCACAGCACCTGGGTGCCAAAGCCAGGGCTCACAATTCCCACAGCCAGCCCCAGCCTGCACAAAGGGCTGGGAATCAACTCCAACAGGCACCTGGAACACCCTCAGCCAAGGAAGCAAAGTCCAGCTGCTGCCACACCACAAGCAGGATTAAGTGACCAGGACTGCAGAGGAATTGTGCAAATCCTCCTTTGCCGGCTCTAAATAAGCAGCAGCATTCCAAGCAAGCCCATCCCTGCATCCACAGCAGTGGAGACATTGGCAGGAGAGCGGCAAAGCAATTTGGAATTTCCTTGCAAAGCTGGGCAGCAGAAGAGAAGTGCTGAGAGCTTCTCCTGATTGTGTTTCCCGTGTTGCTGAGTCAAATCCCAGCACAGCCTGAAGATTGTGGAAATCAGCTCCAGCAGGGCTGTCTAAGCCTCCACTGATCACTGAAATGAAATTAAACCCTCCAAGAATCCCCTTCTCCCAACCCAGACATTTGCAAACGTGTTGCTTGACAAAGGCTCACGCCCAGAAGAGCCTCTGCATTCCTGCTGCTCCAGGAAAACAACTCCAAGATCCTGCTGCAGTCCTGTTGTCCCCTGGTTTGCTCCTGAACCAGATCAAAAATGCAGGAAATCTCTGGCATTATCATTAAATAGGCCATAAACCCCTCAAGATTTGATGTGGGGTCTGGAGAAAAGAGGTTTTCATATTTAGTTTTAAACCAGAAAAGGCTCATAAGCTCCTCTGTATCTACCAATCCATTAAAATAGGATTAGTTGTAGCCACAGCTCATCAAATGGGTGCAAACAGGAGGAGAACAACACTCCAGATGCCTTTATCACAGTTGTTGACTCCAACTTAATCGCTTTTTTAATAAGTCTTAATTATTCAAAATAATCACCATCCCTTCCCTGCCTGTTGTCATTTAACATGAGAGAACCTTCTACAGAGCAAACCCCAACGCAGGCAAAAGAAACCCCAAAACCAAAATCTCATTAATCTTTCTAATATTTAAGAGATACCTCAAGAGCTTCGAACATTTACCTCTCCTTCCCAGCAGCTGAAATGGTTTTAGGAGGATCATGGTTCATACCTCGCATTCCCTGGAGCCAGAGATGGTGTAGGTGCAGGGCCCAGATCCATTAACAGATACATCCATGGTCTCAGAGTTTGTTGGCTTGTAGTCCACGTAATATTCCTGCAAAGGGGAGTTCATTTGCCTCTCTGACTCCCGGGCCTTTTTCCTGCGCCTCTTCATGAGCGTGTGCTGCTGGAGCTGCTTCATGCTGGCGGGATAACGCTTCCAGGACACGTAGATGACCAGCAGGATCATGGCCACGGAGAGAAAGAGGGCCACGCTCCCCGCGATGATCTTGTGGAAGGACACGTGCTCGTACTCCGGCTCCACCGCGGGCGTTGGGATGTCTGCGGAAGGGCTCGGCATCGCAGACGTCGGCTGGTGGCTTTCCAGTTTGGAGACGGTGGGTTTGGGGATGAACACGGGTCTCTGGGGGGTTTTGGGAGCCTGGTAGGACCTTTCAGTAGGCACCACCTGGATTTCGGCACAGATATTATAGGTTTCCACAGCGTCGCTCACCTTCTCGCCCTGGATGTGTTTGGGGCCTGCGCAGATCATGGTGCTCTCCTTATTTCCCTTGAAATTCTTAAGCCAATTAAACAGGGGGCAAATGCTTCGAGTACATTCCCACATATTCCCGGACAGAGTGATGGAGATGAGCGAGATCCACGTGTTGATGGTCTCCTGAGAGATGTTGGTGAGTTTGTTGGAATCCAGGTTCAGCTTCTGCAGGTTGGGCAGGCACTGGAAGGTGCCGGGCTCTACCCCCGCGATGTCATTGCCTGATAAATCCAAGTTGTGCAAGGAACTCCAGGTCCACGTCAACCCCTGGCTGATGGAGCGGATCCTATTCCACTGCAAGTAAATGGAGCGGAGGTTGAAGAGCCGCGGGAAGTGGGCAAAATTGATCTTAGAAAACTGGTTGTGCTCCAAGTGGAGCTCCGTCAGCTTCAAGAGGCCGGCGAAGGCGTTGCGGGACAAGCTCCGCAGGCGGTTGTAGCCCAAATCCAGGAAGTCGAGGTTGCGGCAGTCCTGGAAAACGCGGATGGGCACCGTCTTCAGCGAGTTGGACCTCAGGTGCAGGATCAGGAGCTTGCGGAGGCCCTTGAACTGCTCCGCCTGCAGCACCTGCAGCTTGTTGTAGGACAGGTCCAGGTTGCGGAGGTTGGGCACGGGGTGGAAGGTCTTGTTGTGCAGGTGGGTGATTTTGTTGGAGCTCAGGATCAGCTCCTTCAGCCGGCGGATCCCCTGGAAGGCATCCTCATCCACGGAGCTGATGTAGTTGTGGTCAAGGTAGAGCCAGATGAGCTGATTGAGGCCCGCGAACTGGTGGGATTTCAGCTTCTGGATGCTGTTGTAGCGCAGGGACAAGCCCTGGGAGCCGCCGGAGATGTTGTGCGGGATGTCTCGGAAGGCGTGCGACTCGCAGTACACGATCTTGCCGTCGCAGCGGCAGCTCTTGGGGCAGGCTCGCTGGGCACCCGCCAGCCCCGCCAGCAGCGCCAGGGGAAGCAGCCCCAGCAGCACCCTGGAGCCTCCCCGCTGCTTGATCACATGGAAACCTGCAAGATCCGAAAGGAAAAGGGGCCGTTGGAAAGCCGCGCGGGTAAACGACCAGATTACCGAGCAGGCGTTTGGGAGACAACCTGTTTGCCTCCTGCCTCGGCTCTCTGTGGTGCAAATCGCCGCCCTTGGCGCGCCTGCCTGGCCACCTCTCCTGCCCCCACTGCCACCAGAGTCCCCTGGTGGGGCTCAGGGTCCCCCCGAGCCTGTTCCCTCCCGGCTGTGCTCCCGTCCCCCGGCTCCCCGGGGAGCTGGGGTGTCCTTAGCGCTCCGTGCTGAGGTTTGAACAATAAACATATTTGTCAAGTCACTGTGCTGGATGCTCCATAGTGCCGGAGAGGAAATGAGCCAGAGCTTCTGCTCGTACGTGCTGCTCAACGTGTTCCTCAAGGAAAGCAACTGCAAGACTAATCCCCCCAAAATTACCTCAGAAAGAGGGAAATCTACTTCTCCTGAAGTTTGATCCATCTTTATGACCTGTATTTTTTGTAAAGCGAGGCACTAAGTAAAGGTTTTACTTTTTGCACTGAATGATTCAGGTTTAAGAGCAGGTTTAAGTAAAACTCGTGAGTTTTATGTACCTAAAATACAGAAATAGATGCAGGGAAACAAAGTTTGTCCATACAGAGAAGTGTACCAGGAATGCTGGCATGGCACCCCAATGCCAGGTAAAGGTAGGAGATGTGTTCCTTTCAAATGAACCACAGCCTTAACCCATGCTCATTTAGTCCATCCACACATGGCTGTGAATACCTAAACAGTTATTAACTTGAATTAATCCAGCAGACGATGAAAATACCCACCCCAACACTTCCAGACAGCAGCAAACCCAGAAAGTTTAAAGGGGGATATTTCTCTTTCAGTTCCCCTCTCCTGATTGATTTTAAGGGTTTGCCTTTAAGATGTCATGTTTGTCATGCAGCAGCAGCGCTGGATGTGAGGACATATGTAATAATTGAATGTACAGAATCCTGAATAATTATGAGAGGGCGTGGAGGGGGTGTCAGAAACCCCAACACCCATCTGCACGCCTGGAATAATTTTAGGGCTGCTGCCTCCAGAGTTGCAGTCTTGCTGAGAATGAAAATGCATTCTTCCAACAGGAAATATTTCAAAGGCTCATATCTCCTTGATAAATAATCACTTTATTATTTGTCACACACACGCAAAACCAACCCAGTGCTGCAGGTCTTTAATCCAATTTTAAACCGAGGGGCAATCTGCAAATACAATTCCTGATCTAGAATGCCCCTTGCCTTCCACTTTAATGGGTAGATTTGTAATTTAAATCCTCTTTTTTTTTTTTTTTTTTTTTTTTTTTTTTTTTTTTTTTTTTTTTTTTTTTTTTTTTTCCG